CCCCCTGCCTGCACCTTGCACCCCACCCCCCTGCCCCACAATTCCCTGCCCTGAGCCCCCTGCCTGCACCTCGCACCCCAACCCCCTGCCCCACAACTCCGTGCCCTGAGCCCCCTGCCTGCACCTTACCCCGGAACCCCCTGCCCTGAGCCCCCTGCCTGCACCCTGTACCCCTCCTGCACCCCAACTCCCTGTCCTTAGCTCCTGACACACCCTGCATCCCAATCCCCTGCCCTGAGCCCCCTCCTGCACTCTGCACCCCAACCCCCTTCCCTGAGCCCCCTCATACACCCCACACCCCTCCTCTGCCCCAATCCCTTGCCCTGAGCCCCTTCCTGCACAGTGCACCCCTCCTGAACCTCAGCCCCCTGCCCTGAGCCCCCTCATACACTCCACACCCCTCCTCTGCCCCAATCCCTTGCCCTGAGCCCCTTCCTGCACACAGCACCCCCTCCCACACCCCGCACTCCCTCCCACACCCCAACCTTTATGATGTTCGCCTTTTAAAAAAAAAAATTCTCTTGGTGCACACCCTAATGAAATGTGCTGCGCACGCCTATGACTATAGGGATCGTGAATGCTGTATAGATTCCTAGTATAAGGCAAAATTGTGACTTTGCCACAAGACCTGAGCAAGGGGCAGCACATCTGAGTCTCACTATAGTCCTTGCAGGAAAGCTTGCTCCATAGGGAAGCAATTTGCACCATCCCTGTCACAGGCACAGATTACTTCCACCTGCACAGAGGCTCAGTGGTGCTGGTTGGTGCACTGGGGGAGAGCAGAACCAAGGCTTCGCCCATGCCCTTGCCCACCGTGCAGGAGGGAAAGGAGCAGCCCCGAAGAGGCTACCGCATACAATATGGGTAGCCTGTGCAGGGGGCTGGGGGGCGCTTTACATCCCTTTACTGGCCTGTGCAGGTGCCGAGGGGGAGTCAGAATATGGTTCTTAGATTAACAGCTGGGCAGTCCCCCTAGGCCCTGCGGGGTGGTGGGGGAGATGATGCCCAAACCCAGAAAAGGAGGAGGGTGAAGAAGATGAAGACTGAATGATGGGGATAACGACTGTCCACTAAAAATAAGGATGATGATCCCTTGCTAACATAAAGCACAGCGCCAAAAGAGGCCTGCGCCCACCTAGCAATTTTGGGGCTGCTGTATTGGAAAGGCAGCCAGGAAGACTGTTAGGAAAGCAGCAGCAGCAAAGGGAACGAGGAGGGGACGTGAAACCGGCAGGAGCAGCTGGGTAGCTCACTTTTAGCATCTGCAGATATCCAGGCTGGGGGAGAAGATTCACTCATGTGAAGGGTGACAATATGTCCTGTTTGGGCTGGGACAGTCCCTTTTTTAAGCCCTGTCTCAGCTGGCCTGATGTTTTAGGCAAAAGTGGGCATTTGTCCTGTTTGCTCTCACCAGCTGAGCATCAGCTGGGAAGAGCAAACGGGACAAATGCCCACTTTTGCCAAAAGAGTGGAGTGTGATCCCTAGTGGGCCACAGAGAAACCTGCAGGGGGAGGGGAGGATGCGCAGCAGTGCTAGCTCTGCACGGGAGGAAGGGATCAGGAGAGTGGCTGAGCCTGGGCCAGCCGCGCAGGGGTTGGTAGCAGGGAGTCTTGGGCCGGCCCTGTGAGCAGAGGGTAGAGGGGGGCTTCAGGCAGTCCCAGTGTGGGTGGGCGTTGGAGGGGCTCAGGCCAGTCCCGCACGCAGTGCAAGCCCCTGGTGCTCTGTGTGTGGATGAGCAGCGTGAAAGGTCCGAGAGCGGCAGGCACTGAGAAGGGGGCATTTGTTGTTCCAGGTTCCTGTACAATTGCAGATGTAGCTGTGCACTTCACAGTGGCAGAGTGGGCCCTTCTGGGTGAGTGGCAGCGGGAGTTCTACCGAGACACAATGATGGAGAACTATGGGAACGTGGTCTCTCTGGGTAAGGACTTGCTTCTCTTCATGTGTTAGAAGCTGCGAGGGCTGGGAGTCCAGGCCTTGCCTCGAGTTTTCTCGTCATCCCTTAAACTTCCTAGGGCTCAGCTTCTGTAGTCCCCAGAAGCTGTGTGAGAGGCTGTCATCCCCCCACTCCCAGAGCCATGCCAGCAGGAGACGGGACAGGCCAGCTTCCCTAGTTTCATAACATTTCCGGGCAGATGGGATCATTAGATCGTCCGGTCTGACTTCCTGTGTGTCACAGGCCCTGACATGTCAACCCATAACCCCTATTTTGAACCCTGTGACTTCAGTTAAACTAAAGCCCTTGAGATATTACACTATTGTGAATCACAGAAGCAATCCAGGCGTTACCAGCACCCGAGGCCCCTGCAATGGCAGGGAATTGGTTACGGGTGATCCGACCAGGCGACCCTCGCCCCATGCTGCAGCGGAAGGTGAAAACCCCCCACGGTCCCTGCCACTCTGACCAAGGGGAAGATTCTTTCCCAACCCCAAATCCAGCATCGGTATGACCCTGAGCTTGTGAGTGAGGGACCAGCTGGGCATCTAGAGAGAGGATTCTCTGGACCACCTCAAACCACCAGCCCACCCCAACCAAGATCCCATCTCTAGCTGTGGCCAGATCTCTGATGCTTCCAGAGGAAGATGGAAAAATTCCCTAGATTACAGTTGAGCAGCAGTGGGGGGAAAATCCTTCCTGACCCCTTCAGGTGCCTGGCTGAAGCCATGCAGCTGGAGAGTGGATTATAGTCATTAGTGTCCCCAGAGCACAGCACTCTGCTTGGAAGAGGAGCCTTCTGGGTTTCTTGCCTACTGCACGTATTCAGAAAGTCTCTAGCTGTGTTTTTGGGTGGGGTGGGGAGCTAGGGAATAAACACTTGCTCTGTGCCAGAGTCAAAAAGCCTCTCAGGGTGGGGTGGAGATACCCTGGCCCTCGGACAGGGGCCAGTCACACGGAAAAGTGCCCTGTATCCTGGGACCGGGGTTTCTGAACATCCCAGTGGGCAGTGGCTGCCATGGAAACCCAAAGAGAATGTTTAGGGTTGCAGTGTAAAGCTGTGAGTCAGAGGGGAAGCGCTCACTCTGGGATGGATGGATGGATGGCAGAATTCTGGTTAATTCCTGCAGGGAATGGCCCTGAACACCTGGGACCTGTTTAATTCTGAGATCCCCTTTTAACAGTAGGACTTGCCTCTGGTTTCAGAATCCAGTCTAGCGATGGGGGATCCCGCACTCCTGGCCTATGTCTCTTTACATGGAGTGAATGAATGTCCCTGCCACAGGGAATCAGTGTACACACTGCAGCGGTAACACAGCTGATCGCTCGGGTTAACCCTGTTGTGTCTGGTTGCTGTGCAGCCAGGTTGGCTCTCGATTCCATCGTCCAAGCCAGGGCTGGGCAAATCTTTTGGCCTGAGGGCCACATCTGGGTATGGAAATTGTATGGCGGGCCATGAATGCTCACAAAATTGGGGGTTGGTGTGCGGAAGGGGGTGAGGGCTCTGACTGGGGGTGTGGGCTCTGGGGTGGGGCCAAAATTAAGTTCAGGGTGTGGGACGGGGCTCCAGGCTGGGGCAGGGGGTTGGGGTGCAGGGCGGGGGTGAGGGCTCCAGCTGGGGGTGCGGGCTCTAGGGTGGGGCTGGGTATGAGGGCTTGGGGGTGCAGGAGGGTGCTCGGTGCTGTGACCGATGGGTTTGGAGGGGGATCAGGACTGGGGCAGGGGGTTGAGGTGTGGGAGTGGGTCAGGGGTCCAGACTCCAGGCGGCGCTTACCTCAAGCAGCTCCTGGAAGCAGCAGCATGTCCCCCATCTGGCTCCTACACGGAGGCATGGCCAGCCAATGGGAGCTGCGGGGGGCAGTGCTTGGGGTGGGGCAGCATGCGGAGCCCCCTGGCTGCCCCTATGTGTAGGAGCCGGAGGGGGGATATGCCGCTGCTTCCGGGAGCTGCACAGAGCCATGGCATGCACAGAGTGGGGAAAGCCCCAGACCCCGCTACCCAGCGGGAGCTCGAGGGCTGGATTAAAATGTCTGAAGGGTCGGATGTGGCCCCCGGGCCATAGTTTGCCCATCCCTGGTCCAAGCGTTTCCCAGCTCAAGTCTGCATCCCAGAGGTGATGCGGTGGGTGGGGGGGGGCATGGGGAGGTCAAGTGCCCCCCCAGATTGGCCTGCCTTCTCTCCCTGCACCTCCCCCCCCATACCTTTGGATACATTGGCTGCTCTCCCTGGCAGCCGGGTGGGGAGCAGGACTCTAGCTCACTCGGCCCCAGTCCCCCCAGCATGGCCCAGCCCACTTGCCAGGGACAGGGGCTGAGCAAGCCAGAAACATGCTGGGGGTTGGGGGGGAGACACTCTGGCTCACTCAACCCTGTTCCTGGCTGCAGATACAGGGGTTGAGCGAGCCAGAGCCCCACTCCCTCCTGCTGGCAGCCGAGCCCAGGCTGCCTCCCAGCCAGACTCTCTCAGGCAGAAGCGGCTCTGTCCCGCTCCCTGCCCGGCTACCAGGGACAATGGGTCAAACTTGCTTGGGGGAGGGGGGAGGCACAGGGAGAAAAAGACAGACCCCCCCCCCAGGCCCCTCCCTGCAGGTAACGGGGTGGGGAGAACGTGGCGGCCTGGGGCTGGGCGGGGGGCGGGGGCGGTGACTCAGCAGGGGAGACACGTGGGGCGGTCACATGTCCTTCCCTTTAGCTTGTGCCCCCCCAGTCGTACCTTATGTGGGAGGGTGGGGGGTAGGGGGAGGGACAGTAGTGGCCGTGCAGGGATTGTATTTAGCCCTCTGAGTTGGAGATAGAGGGTCCACTGGCATTTAACAGAGGCGCTGGTGTCTTAACAGGGGATGTCAACTCCCCTCACAGACACTTCGCCCCCCCAAAAGGCTTCCGTGGTATTTCCCCAGCTGTGCGGATCCCACGTCCTTGTGAGCACAGGAAGGGTGGCTGGGGTTAAAACAATGGAACAATGAATGCTGAGACATTTGGCAGGCTGGGACCTTACCTGTTGACTTTCCCATGAGCAGGGATTCCCATTCACAAATCTGAAATCATCTCCTGCCTGGAGCGAGGAGAGAAGCCCTTTGTCCCAGCTGCCCAGAACCTTGAGGAACCAGAGATCCTGAGAGGCATCTGCACAGGTGAGCGATGGGATAAATCACCTCTGAACCCATCAACGAGTGAAATGAAATGTTGGGACCCTGGGAAAGCGGCATGAACGCCCCCAGCTCTGCCTCCTCTTGTGAGCTCTGCAGAGGCAGGTCTCAGCTGGAGATGTGCAGTGTTTGCCTTGGCTCTGAGCAGCCCCTTTCTGCCTGGGGGGATTTGTCCCCTGAGTACCAGAGATTTCTGGAGCCGTAAAACATAAATGTAGAGTCCTGAGACCAGAAGGGACCATTACGCCCATCCAGTCTGGTCTCCTCAATCACCCAGGCCAGAGAACTTCCTCTGGAGAATCCTACATCCTGCCCAGTGGCTAGTGACTGAGCCAGAAAGGATCTTAGGGATCCAAAGAGAGAGAGAGACCCCTGTAGCTACCCACCACTCTGTCGCCTTCCCTTCACTATTCCCTTTCCTACCTGTCCTCTCCCATCTCCTCCCCACGGCAGATGGCTGTTGTGGGGTTCGTGCCCTAGGAGCAATGGTTATCGGTTCCTATTCCCGAGGTTCCCTGTCTCCCACCAGCAGGGGACGGCTCGTGCCCAGATGGCCTCTTTATCCCAGATGATGACGGAATTTTGTCTCCAACTCTAGAGTCCTCACACACTGGGAATCCCAACTGGAGAGCAAGCGAAGCAGTGGGCACCCTCTGGAGCCGCACAGAGAGAAACCCCCTCCGTGCACTGACTATGGGGGGCGTCACAGCTGGTGTTGCATCAGAGACACCCTTCCAGATAGAAGCCAGCAGGGCTGCGTCCTCTGGGCCCACGGGGCCCCATCCCACCAGACACGTGTTGCATCACACGCTATTCGAGGCATGTGGGGTCAGCCATGAGCTGTGAGCTCGGGGGAAGGGGGCACATTCCTGGGGTGATTGATTGCTTGGGAATCATGTAACGGGAGGCATTGGGTTGGAAACCAGAGAAGGAGGATTCCTGGCTAAACCACTGGCCTGCTGGGTGACCTTGGGAAAGTCACTGCCCTGCTCTCTGCCTCGGTTTCCCTATTGGTAAAATGGGGATAATGTTACTGACCTTGGTAAAACACTTTGAGGTCTAGTGATGAAAACCACTAGATAAGAGCTGGGTCTTATTATTATTTTATTTTATTATTAAGGAGCAGCATCTTGGGCTTATTGATCATTGCTTCGGTGCCAGTGATCATGACTTGCATTTGTCATGTGCAAACAGAATAATGTCCAAACCAGTATAATTATATCTACACTTAAAAGGGCCAGTTTCACAAAGCTGAAAACAGTGATGAGTCAAATGAGCTGGGAGAAAGGATTTAATCAGAAAATTGTGAGTGCTATTTTGGAGTTGTATAAGAACGTTGTACTAGATGTCCAAAAAGCCAAAACTCCCCAAGCAAGAAAGAGGGCTACACAAGTGGAAAAAAACAAACAACCTGGCTTATAGGAGACGTGAAAGCAGCTAGAAAAAAAAATACTGTGGCATACTGTGGGGCCATGCGGGTACCCATAGCAGTGCCACTGACTTGAAGGTTTAAGTTGTCCCCAAATCTGAAATAGTTGTGAATGAGGACAAAGTCACAAAGTTCAGCCACCAGGTGTGCCATGGCCTCATCAGGTATACTGTTCCTGACAGCTTGTAGTCCATCCTCGTGTGGAATATTGGCGTAAAGAGCTTCTACATCCATGGTGGCCAGGATGGTGTTTTCAGGAAGATCACCAATGCATTGTAGTTTCCTCAGGAAGTCAGTGGTGTCTCGAAGATAGCTAGGAGTGCTGGTAGCATAGGGTCTGAGGAGAGAGTCCAAATAGCCAGATAATCCTGCTGTAAGAGTGCCAATGCCTGAGATGATGGGGCGTCCAGGATTTCCAGGTTTATGGATCTTGGGTAGCAGATAGAATACCCCTGGTTGGGGCTCTAAGGGTGTGTCTGTGTAGATTTGTTCCCATGCTGTAGCAGGGAGTTTCTTGAGCAGATGGTGTAGTTTCTTTTGGTACTCCTCAGTGGGATCGGAGGATAGTAGCCTGTAGAATGTGGTGTTGGAGAGTTGCCTGGCAGCCTCCTGTTCATAATCTCACCTATTCATGATAACTACAGCACCTTCTTTGTCGGCCCCTTTGATTATAATGTCAGAGTTGTTTCTGAGGCTGTGGATGCCATTGTGTTCTGTACGGCTGAGGTTATGGGGCAAGTGATGCTGTTTGTTCACAATTTCAGCCTGTGCACATCTGCGGAAGCACTCTATGTAGAAGTCCAGTCTGTAATTTCGACTGTCAGGAGGAGTCCATGCAGAATTCTTCCTTTTGTAGTGTTGGTAGGAGGGTTCCTGTAGGTCAGTGCTCTGTTCAGTGGTGTGTTGAAAATATTCTTTGAGTCGGAGACGGCAAAAGTAGGCTTCCAGATCATCACAGAATTGTATCAAGTGAGTGGGGGGGGGGGGGGTGGGGCAGAAAGGGAGTCCCTGAGATAGGACAGACTCTTCTGCTGGGCTAAGTGTGTGGTTGGATAGATTAACAATATTGTTGGGTGAGTTAAGGGTACCACTGTTGTATCCCCCTGTGGCATGTAGGAGTTTAGATAGTTTACTGTCCTTTTTCCTCTGTAGAGAAGTAGTGTGCGTTGTAAATGGCTTGTCTTGTTTTTGTAAAGTCCAGCCACGTGGAAGTTTGTGTGGAAGGTTGGTTTTGTATGAGAGTCTCCAGTTTTGAGAGCTCATTCTTGATCTTCTCCTGTTTGCTGTACAATATGCTGATCAGGGGGTTCCTCAGTTTCTTTGAGAGTGTGTGGCACAATCTCTCACCATAGTCAGTGTAGTATGTCGATTGCAATGGATTTTTTTACCTTCAGTCCATTTGGTATGATGTCCATCTGTTTGCACTTGGAGAGGAAGATGATGTCTCTCTGTATCTGTGCGAGTTTTTTCATGAAGTTGATGGATTTCCACTTCATAGAATATCAGGATTGGAAGGAACCTAAGGAGGTCATCTAGTCCAACCCCCTGCTCAAAGCAGGACCAATCCCCAACTAAATCATCCCAGCCAAGGCTTTGTCAAGCCTGACCTTAAAAACCTCTAAGGAAGGAGATTCCACCACCTCCCTAGGTAACCCATTCCACTGCTTCACCACCCTCCTAGTAAAAAAGTTTTTCCTAATATCCAACCTAAACCTCCCCCACTGCAACTTGAGACCATTACTCCTTGTTCTATGATCTGCTACCACTGAGAACAGTCTAGATCCATCCTCTTTGGAACCCCCTTTCAGGTAGTTGAAAGCAGCTATCAAATCCCCCCTCATTCTTCTCTTCTGCAGACTAAGCAATCCCAGTTCCCTCAGCCTCTCCACATAAGTCATGTGCTCCAATCCCCTAATAACACTGGTCTACAATTTTTGAGAAGTCGTCTGCTTCAGAGA